AGGAGTAGAGATTTTGGCTAGCACATCAAGAACGCAAGACTCCTTGTTGAATTTCAGGCCAGTGATACTATGAACTTGTTCTTTTCCACTTGATCAGTGTCTTCTACAGCCAAGTTTGCTGCTTGTTGAAACTGAGCCCACTTTTAGCCACATTTCAGTGTAATACAGATGCCAGTAAATGCAGTTGCTTTTCTATTATGTTCTCCTTCCACTTTATTATGGATTGATCTGTTTACAGTTTATGGGGACCATAAAGGAAATACGATGCTTTGATTTTATTTATGAGCATATGGTTTTGTTTTAGATAGAGCACTATGGGTAGAAGTTTCTCAGTATAGTACAACAGCATTCTCAAGAAGCTCTACTTTTTACAGCAGGCCACAATTAAAGTTATTCCTCTATTCCAGTACCATAATTACATTGGGAAAGTTGCTATAGGGTATGGCCATTTTAGTAATCTCTCAGCATTCTGTTAGCTTAAACAGTACAGCAGTGGTTGGTTTATAAACTGTATGTTTTGAAGTATTTCTGATTTGTTCTGTTAAAGTTTGGTTGAAGACAATGTGTAGCTGTGCTGGTAACTTTCAGCCTTGCTGAGATGTAGCTCTTTGTGTAATGACCCTTATTCTAGTTCATCTTTTAATGGAAAAACAGACTAGAAATGCAGAGACCTTTTTCTGGTTTGCATCCTGTGCTCTGAAGTACATCCTGTTCCATAATGGGGAGCAAGGGATATGTGGGTAGGACACGTGAGCCCAACTTCAAGACAGTTTTAGCAATGCAGTTAAAAATACACATATAATAGCCTTACCTGGCTGCGGTACAGAATGTTTTAAATATATGTGGAACAGAAGCAATCTTGTCAATGTACCAAATCTTAATTTCTTCTTTTTGAGAGCCCTAATAGTCTCATTTTGCAAAACCTGGCAATCAAGCTAATGTTCTGTTCTGGGACTAAGACTTGGACTTTTTTATTTTTACTCACAGGTCTCAACTTACTGTTAGCAATTTGAAATTATTTGCAAACACGAATTAATGAAATGATAAGTTTTCATTCTTTATATTGAAACTTTTGATAGACACATTTTTATTCTTTATTTTCATATAGAGTTGTAGAGTTGTCTTCTGAAAGTTTATTTCCTGTTTATTTAATGTTGAGATTTTCATCTCTAGAGCCCAATTTGACACGCAAGTACAACCTTATAGTATCAGGAAAACAATTCTAGTGTACCATGCTCTTTCAAATGCATTTTAAGATCTTGGCTATGAGGCAGTGGTAATAGGTGGGTCAAAACTATTGCAACCAGTCTGGGTAATCTGAGGGCAAAAATATTTCTGGATAACCTTGATAAGAGCTTAATGTGTAACTAGCCATAAATTTATTATATGTAATTCAGAGGGCAGATGAAGATGTAGCAGGTGAAATCATGATGCCAGGCCGTCAGAAGTTTAATTGTTAAAATATATTAGTTTAAAAAGGGAAGCTGAAATATCTGCATCAATGTTCATGCAGTTGGTTGTTCCTGGAAGAAGCAGATTGTGCTCAGGAGTATGCAGTGTTGTTTCTAGGCTTTGCAGGAGCAGTTGAGTGTTTGCAAGCTGCAAATAGCAGGGCCACAGACAAGATGTGTGCGAAGTGGTTAATGATAATAATCTATCTGATTTTATTATTTTTTTTTGTCCAGCACAGATGCTATGCTGGGACTTAACTCATCCATTGCATCTTACAGAGGCTCACTTAACATTTTTGCTCCTTGTGTTAATAATGCTGTGAACCTGTGCTTAATCTTTCCCACTTTTGCTGCCTGCTTCTCCTGATCAAAGAGCTTTGTGTTGGGCTAGTGCCATTATGAACAGTTGGAAAGCTGGTGCTGGATGCTGTGGGTTTCTTTAACCCTGTTCAGGAATCGATCATCTTTTGAATGGTTCTGCCTCCTGATTTAGGAGCTGTGGAATGATCTAAATTACATTTATTTGGGGCTGAAAAATCCTTGGTCTGAACTCAGTCTGAATCAGTCTAAGTCATTTTATGTGCCAAATCCATGGCCATTGATGCCTTTCTATTAAGGATATGGGTAGGCTGCCTATCCTACAATGCATTTTTGGTTGCTTTTTCTTTCCCCTGAAACAGCTTTCTTTTTCATATGGCATCAGGCTTTGGTTTTGGTAGTTCTGATCAGGTTTGACACATTGTTTACCTTCAGACTTGGTAAGAGTTATTTTTGGATGGCACTTGAGGTTGAAGTTGCAGGATATGGACGACAAAGTCCTCCTGGCTTTATTCGTCAACTCAGTTGCACAAATTTAAGTTTCAATTTCTGAGTTTGTGTCTCTGTGTAAGAGAGAATGAAGTTTATGCTTGTGCCCTGTATTAGCACATGCATTTAAAGTAGAGTTGTTTGTGATTAATAAATAAGTCTGAGGTGTGATCTTTGTTGTAGAGATTGAGTAATTTATACATAGATTAAAAAAAATAACACTAAGGCTCAGGAGTTTAATTTACATAACAGGATTAGAATAAGTGTCTGAGGTTTACTTAGCAAGTGTTGCTGTGAATGTATAGATGACAGAAGGTCTTATTATCTGTGCTTGCAAGTAGCCAGTAGATACAACAAGCTCTATCTTCTTGGTGTGACAACGTTGGTTTTGCCTGTCAGACTATTTCGTACTGCACAGGGGAAAAAATCTAATTAAAGGGAGAAAATTGAATTTGAAAAAGACTTATTATGCCATCTTGTTTTTTCCCCGTACTAAATACAGGATTAGTTGTGATTGCGTGTCATGGTTTTGCCTTATGTAAATGAAAGAATTGCTTTTTGTTTCTCCAAGTGCTTACTTCATTTAAGAATATTCCAGTAGCATCAAATAACCCAGGTCGTCTGCAACACAGAGTTTCAGTCAGGTAGTCAAATATACACTGATTATTTTTATGTATCTATCTTAATAAAAGGATAAGTAAAGGAGCAATGGATTTTGCCTGTTTTTTATTATTATTTTTATTTTTATTGTTTTTTGCTTTGTATTTGTTAGAATCTGATTCTGAGAGACATCTTGTCTCTGAATTTTTGCTGGATGAGGAATTTGACTGTCAGTGTAGGAAGGGGGTGGCAGGAATGGCAAATGGGAAGGCATACTTCACTTGAGTGCCAGAACTCATTGCAGGAGCTGAAGTTTTTTCCTTAATAACATTACTTAAAGACAGAGATCAGCATTATGGATTTCCATTAATTAGAACAGAGGCAACACTGCTGCTAGGCTGTTTCAGTCGATTGGCAGCATGATTAGCTTTAAAAGGAAAAATGTAATTAGTGTGGCAGAAGGGGCTCCCTCCTTGGGGAAGGAGGAGCCAGGACAGAAAGCTGGTTATTGGAAGGTGAATTCAGCACGGCTAGATGAAGCAGAAATAGCCGGAAATGGGAGAAGCTGCATTTAGCAAGCAGCTGGAGGTGGGGATTGTTCTGATGTGAGGACAGAGCCAGGGTGGAGTGGAGAGAGCAGCAGTGATTCCCTGCTTGGGCAGGGGTGTTGGATGAGACTATCTCGAGAGGTCCTTCCTGTCCTCAGCAACTCTTTTTGTGGAGGAGTCTGCAGATGGGTTTGAGACCACACGTGCAAGCTGCTTGCAGCCCTGCTCCCTTCCTGCTGTTGTGTTCCCTAAACTGCTCTGCCCACTATCAGAATTTGCTTTCCTGGCTTTGCTGAACTTTCTCTCTCCAGTTTTCAAGAGTGAAGACTTCTCTCCAGTCCAGCAGAGATGTCATTAGTGGGAGGGAGCAGCGAGAAGAAAACCACTGTCTGTAGTAACATCATTGGTTGCTTTGATTTACCACAGCACTTCATTCAAGTGTTTTCCTTCCTTTTCCCTTCTGAAAGTGTTTAACGTCACCTGGAATTTGTGTAGATAGATAGGCAAGGAGGAGCATGATACCACTTGACACTAAGAAAGCTTCTAGTCTCAATTATGATTTCAGCTACAGTAATGTAAATCTAGACTTTATTAGGATGCCTCCGGCTGAAATCTGTTTATTACCATTTAGCTGGTCTTAGTTGAAGAATTAATGCACATGTGAGAAGACAGTGTGTTAGGATACTTAATTAAGAATTCATGTTTTAACACTGGAATTCACCCTTAGAAGCAGAGGGAGTTAGCTAGCGTTGAGTTGCAGTCACTGTGTAACAGAGGCATTCTCTTTAACTAGAGCTGAAGTGTACAGGACCTGAGGCTGCACCCGCAGGTGCAGTTTGGCATTAGATGTTTTTTTATTCAACAGATATCCTTCCAGAAAGGAAATCTGCTTGATGAAAAGGTTTGTCTTATTTCTTTCCTAAGGTTCCTAGACATAATGGTAGAAGTAGTTGTAAATGCATATTGTATGTGTCATTCGCATCCAAACCAGAGACTTTAAGGCAAAGTGATTTGCTTATGCAGAGATGGCCAGAAAACGGTCCCGTATAGGAGCGTGCTGCATAGCTTGCTTTTAACGATTCTCTTTTGTGGGACCAACCTTGCAGGCTGTGCGACTTAGTTTCGTGTGCTGGATCTCATTCTGCAAATTCTCATGTTAACATGCCTTACTGCTGTGTTTATTTTCACCAACTCTGGTGTAGTTCCCCTGTAAGCTGTAGTTGGGGAAAGCCCCAGATTTTCTGATGTCATGATGTTTTTACTACAGTATGTTGATTAAAACTGGATAATATTGTTGAATTTGTGCTCCTAGTAAAGTGTATAATAAGAAAAATGTCATAGGTGGTTTTGATTGTTCGCATTGCTGTAGACTATCCCCTTTCATACTTTAATATCTGCAAATGTCATTGAAAACTCAAAAGATCCTTACTGTTACATTCCAGGGTTTCTTTAGAATGCTTAATGTCTCTCAGGAGCTTCTGAAATGTGGTATTTTTATTTTGTGTTTTCCTTTGGTTTTAATTCTTAAATGATCCCTCTTTTCAGATTTCAAATTATAATTATTTCCTGATGCATTGCTGACGCCCCGTGAGCCATGTCAGAAGTACTTCCAGGTCAGATGTCCTTTAAAAGATTCTGCTATGCAAATATGTGAAACTTTCCTCTTTTTCTTCTATTTTCTTCCCAGCCCATATATTGCTTTCATTTTGCACTTTTACATGAAAAAGAGCGAGCACTTTAATTTCTATTTAACAGTGCCTTTTTGAATAAACTCTCTATTCAGCTTTTTAAAAACTATTCCTGTAGATAATATAATGCAAAAAAGTCCGATTAGAGGTAAAGACAAATCGACCATGCAGCTTTTTCTGTTTGCAGTGGTATTTTCTCTCTCCTTCTTCCAGGTCTGTAAGGCTTATGACAAGACTGAAAAACTTCAGTAAAAGCCATTCAGAAGTAATAGCATTAGTTGTATTATTATGATGCTTAGAAAATTGAGACTACTTTGTGTTAAACACATGATAGTTCTGAAAGTATATTGATCTATCTCTGTAGGTATGTTTCTATTTGTTAGAAGTATGCAGTTGAAACTGTGATTTGTTTTAAAAAGTAAGCAAGCTGAAATCATTAATGGATTGCTATGACAGGTCCTCGACCTGCTTTAACTGCCAACATTTTAGTAATAACTTAATTATTCCCAATAGTGATAACATTCAAGTTATTCCTAGTTTTTCACCAGAATACAATATTTTTTATTATACCCAATTTTTACTTGCTTATAACTTGTCACTGTTCATCTGTTTTGGCTGTGTATTGGCGCGGTGACTCCTGATCTGCTTGTCCGTTTGTGTTGCTTTTCAGCAGAAGGCCGAGGAGTTGAAAAAAATGGTGCCCTGTGCCAGTAATATTGTCTTTGCTGGGGTCCAGGCAGCATGAAGATCTGCCCAAGCAGGGGGGTGGGGTCTGCCTGTGGCAGGGTGCCTAGGTGGACCCCTGGCCCGTGGTGTTGGTTAGCTGGTGAGGAGCGTAGCACCAGCCTGCGTTTGGTACCCCTGGGGCAAGGAAGGCAGGGTCTGTGGGAGAGACAAAACAGAAGTTCTGGGAAGTCGGCTATTGGAATTTCGGTCTTGAAACTACAGGCACAGGAAGAAGTTACATTTCCTTGAAGTTTTTAATTAGAAAGTTGGGATGTGCTTCCTCTGGGAAAAGTGCCGTGTTTTGAGCATCACCATGTCCTGTATAAAGGAGGAGGGACAGGTTATCGCTCGTCTTCCTACGCAGTCTAGCTTTTCCTCAGTGCATTTAAGCATTTCCTTGCATTCAGACATTTTCCAGTACTTTAGTTGGTCCTGGCCTGGTAGCAACTTCTGCCCGTGAGACGCAAGACCTCCTCTATCCCATCTGTATTTCTTATTCTCTTTTTTCCTCTTCATTGCTTTTCTTTTTCCCACCTTTGTATCTGTTTGCAAGAGCAGAGGGAAGCCAGCTGCATGTGCCTGTTCCTTGAGAGGACAGCCCACTCCTGCCTGCGCACACCTTGTGGTCCTGTTCGTATGTTCGTTGGTCATTTGATGGTGATGATTTGATCAATGGATCATTTGAAACAGGGTCAGAAGGGAAAGTGGTGTCTAGTGAAAGGTTAATTTTGATATTTTTCTGCTTATGATCATAAACCAACCCAATATAGCACCCAGCTTACGTGTCAGTGTTCATCATAAGTTCATGGGGGAGTTTTATCAAGGAGATTAGTAAAACATAATACGTTTTGTTTCAGTGTTTCGATGTGCTTGTTCTTGCAATATTTTTGATAAGTTAAATGCTAGTGGCAGGAGGCTGGCTAAAGATAATCTGTCAGGCAGATACTTAAGCTTTATCTAGGAAGATTATTTTTTGAGAAATTTGTTCAGTGGCAAAAATAGTGGCAAACATCGCTCACTTGTAACAAAGGACAAGAATAAATCTCAGTCTTGTTCTAGATTGTGACAGTTGTATTTATTGATGAAAAAAAATGCTTGTTTTAATTTGGTGAAACATAAAGTAAATATAATCTAGTGGAATCTGTAGATACTGTGCAATTCCATAAGGTCTAAAGATTAGACACGAGGTCAAAATTATCCTGCCTTATAAATTTAATTTTTTATGTGACTTCCAGATCGTCAGACTTCTAGCTGGTTCAGAAAAAATATTAAGCAGCCAGTCCATAAACACAGGCTATTTTGTGGTTTTAGATTAAAACATATGCTTTGGTAACATGTTGGATCAGATATGACCTTGCTTGCTTTAGACTTGTTTTCTACATCTTGCCTAGAAACAACCAACATTTATTGATATATTTAAGAAGTACCTTTACAGACTTCCTTTAAATTGTGTGGTGGTTGTGGTTTTAGAAGTCCTTTGTTGCTAAAGCTGAAATTGTGTATAGGATGTTTGTTAACTCTTAGCTAAGCTGATGGCTTTTGCACAATATACCTGGGGTGATCTGTCTTCTGAAGAATTTGAAGTTGATCTAGACTGACTGACTGGGTCTTGAGGAAATGGCATACATCAACATTTGTAAAATTTAGTTTAAATTCTGTTTTGAGCAAGTTTTAGAGGTTGTTCTAGGTAGATGATTGAAGGAACAGAGAATATACTTGGTCTGCTTGATTTTAAATGAGCTGTAGTGATGGTTGGAATTGTGCAGCTTTGACAACACATTGAAGAGAAGGGAACACTAGCAACTGTGCGTGTGTTTAGGTAATGTTGTGAAGTGCTTCTTTTCCATCTGTTTATGTTATATGTTCTTTTAAACCTCGTATATTTAACCTCTTCTAAATGTGTACAGCAGTCAGTTCTGTCATGTATCAAATATACAAGGATGCAGCACAACTCAGCTGGAATGATCTGTCATTGGCTAGCTCAAATTATAGCTTTTCATTCCTGGATAAGCCCCAGACACATTTTTATGTACGATATAAGCAGTCAATGATATCTGAGAATTAGGAGCAACAGAAAGGGTGTTTCATGCTGTGGCAGATGGGAGTGATTTATTAATTGGCCTCTAATTTGGTTGCCAGGTGTCAAACAGTGACTGCTACAGTATGTAAATTGAGGTGTTCATGGAGTATTTTGTGCAGATTAGTGGGAGCCATAAAAGGCAGTGCAGGAAAAAAATAGTAGTTTTTAGAAAGATATATTTTGATCATTTTTTCGTAGTCTAAAAACCTGTTCCCTCAACAAACTTATCATTTTTTCAAAATGTGAGCTGTGCCCTTGGCTAATATAAGTCAGAAACTTATGTACAAGTAGGCAAAAGAGTGGTTTTATTTAACTGTGGAATATGTGTCCCCTGTTGTATGATGTAATGTTTTATCCTTAGGTTTGAACTTTGTGAGCTGTAGAAACAGTGAGCCATCTTCACCTCTGGAGCAGCCCTTTTTTTTGAAGTTGATTGAATTAGAGCAGGCTATGTTGTCAAGGGATTTTTGTTGTTTCTCCCACAGAAATCAAATACAGTATTGTGAAGTAATCTACTTCTTTTATTTCCTACCTTCTGATCCTCTACTCCTCCCCTCCAAAAAAAAAAAAGAAAAAAGAGGGGGTGGAGAAGACAGACAAAGAGCAGAGAAAATGCAGGTGTTGAGAGGCAACAGCTGACTAGCCAGTCAGGCTTAAAATTAATGTTAATTAAAATTGAATTCTACCCTGTGTGAAAAAGGAGTTGTGTCTGCCTGCAGTCAGCTTAGAAATTTTTTAAATTTTCTGCTTCCTAGTGATGAGTGCTCAAGGAGTTCTTCCCCTTCTCCTTGGTGGAGGTAGAGGTGAAATAGTGAAATGAAACAATGGTAAGGATGACTTCTGGACTCGCAGGCATTTGCAAAGGGCACCTCTCCTGTCCCCAAGCCTGCCTGCTATAGAATCAAACCTGAAAGAACTGTAGGGTCAAACTTTCTGCTTTTTCTCAGCCTCATGGTCCTGATGATCTCTCTAGAGTTTTCTGCCTCTGTTTTTCCTTATTTAATAAGCTAAGCTTTTGTATATTCTCTTACTTAGGTTGTGGTAATTTTCCTACTGTAAAACAATTGTGTGAAGTGCCACATCCTTTTACCAGAAGCCCTAGCAAAATGGTGTGTATAATGAATGTGTTTCATGGCTGTTTCTTTTGCTTTTCTAGTCGATTCTGGTGTGGACGCATTGGCAGTGTTTATGGCAAGTGGCAGCACGACAGACGTTGCGAACCGCAACAACCCCGTCACCCCGCCGAATACCCTTAACCTGCGCTCCTCTCATAATGAACTCCTGAATGCAGAAATGAGGCACACGGAAACCAAGAGCAGCACTCCTCCAAAATGCAGGAAGAAATATGCGCTGACTAACATTCAGACAGCTATGGGTCTTTCCGATCCAGCAGCGCAGCCCCTTCTGGGGAGTGGCTCTGCCAATATAAAGCTGGTGAAGAATGGAGAAAACCAGCTCAGGAAAGCCGCTGAGCAGGGACAGCAGGATCCCAACAAAAACCTCAGCACCACTGCGAGCATAAACGTAACTTCTGAGAAGTTTGAGGGCAAAGAGCCAATCCCACAGGATTCCTCTGGCTGTGAAATATTACCCTTGCAGCCAAGGAGGACCAGGAGTTTCCTGAATTACTATGCGGATCTAGAGACATCTGCTAGAGAACTAGAGCAGAGTTTTGTTGCAATGGAAGATAAATCTGCACAAAGCAACAGCCAGGCTTCTACCGTTATTGTCAACGGGGAAGTCCTGCCCCGGAAACAAAACAATCTGTCAAGCCCAGAGGATGGCCAAGTTGCCACGGTGTCATCAAGCCCTGAGACTAAGAAAGACCACCCAAAAACTGGGGCCAAAACAGATTGCGCCCTCCATAGGATTCAAAACCTGGCCCCAAGTGATGAGGACTCCAGCTGGACTACACTGTCCCAGGACAGCGCATCACCGAGCTCTGCTGATGAAACAGGTACACAAGTAAAGGCTGCCCACAACCACTGTTCTAGAAATGTGTTGCTTGACTCCTCTCAGCTGGCGGCTGGAAGGAGAGAGGCAATTTAAAAGATCTTTCAGTGGGAAAGAGGATTGCATCAAAACACAAGGGCTGGGCTTGCACACAGCTCCTTGTCCGCTTGGGGTTGCATGGCAGCCTCCCGCTTGGTCCTAATGGCTCTACTGCTGCTTTAGGAAAGGCATGAGCAAATGCTATAGGCAAAAATATGCTTACTGCACCTTTTGCTAGTTTATAAATAATTGCTCTTCACTAATCAATGGGTACATGTTGTGAAATGTAGATGATTGCCTGGAGGTGCTAAACTATGGGTAGCTGCCTACACACGACAAACAAACTTTCCTGAGCAATGATTTTTAGGTTGAGCAAAGATTTTTACTTTTCTAATTAAAGTCTTTGTGAGTGTCTCCCCTCTGCCCCATCATTTGATTATATTCTTCTATTTTAAAAAAATGTTCTCCCAAACCTTGGGTCATTTAATTTCTGTGCATTGTTTTCTTTCTGCAGCAGTTCCATACAGTAACTCAGAAGCTGAAACCATGGCATTTCATATATTGGAAGCATGGGCTCATTAATTATTTGAACAGTAATGGTGACTTCTGCACTGGCTCTGTTGTGATTAACAACACATCTGTATTCTTTTTAAAACTGTAGAGATCTCATTTACTCTAGTTAATGGACTTCATCTCTTTTTAAATGTCCAAGCCAGTATATAAACATACAACTTTGTCAAAATGAGGGGAGGCAATCTGATTCTCAAGTGTGATGTGGGCTAAAGAAGTCCATCATATGTTGTTCATACAGCACAGAGATTATATGCTTTTTGGAGGCCACCATGGTCTGAAAGCAGCTGCATTGCGTGTCAGTTGTGCATTATTATGGCAATAGTGATTTTTGTTCTAAAGTGTACGGTTTTTTAAAATCGCAGTTAGAAATCCCCACTATGTGACATATAATGGATCTTCTGATCATCTTTTTGATGTGTAACTAACCTTTGCTCTTAAGAAAATGAAGTCGTCTCTTCATGTGCAAAATGAAAAAGTTTTCAGTTTACTAAAATTGCTGTTTGAATTAATATTATTTCTTTGGATGTTCGATATAATATGTGTGACAACACTGATAACATTTTCTGGATAAACTAACAACAGGAGGTATTTAGATAACTTAATGCTGAGCTTGTTGGCTCCTTCTGCCTTTGTACTTGCCCCAGGTTTGGCAATGAGGAACTGTGGGTAAAAAAATTTATATTCACTGAAAACTAAATTAGTCATTCCAAGTAATCTAATAGGGTGGCCTATGATGCTAAGAGCTAGTGTAAATTTTGTTTCTTTTTAAATAATGTGTTTAAAATTTTTGTCCCATATGTGTATTGTCACTGTATGGTATATGAGCTCTTTCAGCACTTGGGAAGGGGGATTTTTCTGAGCTGTTCTGAGGTGTTGGCAAGTGTGCTTATTTAAGTATCCAAGTGTTAGCTGAGCTGTGGTTTGTTTGCAGTATGGAAATAAAAGGGAATTTTCCCCTGCTGAGTAAGGGGGGTTTCTTGTTTAAAAAACAAACAAACAAACAAAAAAACCCCAAAAAACCCAAAACAAAAAAACCCCCAAAAAACGCACAATTAATAAAACCCTCAGAACTCACCACTCATCAGTGAAGCAGAATAAAGGGCTTTTAAAAATTCTCTGCTACTTTCACTGTACTAGCAACCAATGTATTATAAACAGTTGTAGGAAAACAGATGTCCAGATATCTGAGGTCGGTGTCTATAGAAAAGAGTTAAAAATAAACAGAAACCCCTAGAAAACCTCAAAATTGCCTTTGAAGTCAAAGTGGTAGAAATTGTCAGAGAACACTGAGTAGGACATAGTACCTGTCATACTGTATTGGATTGCTGGTTTTAAGATGCCTGTGCATATAAGCATTCATAGACTCTAAAAACATCCAACTATTGCAACTTGCAGCTTGCAGATACCAGTCTCTTAGGATGATTTGCTATCTTGAATTTACTTCCACTCTGATAAAATGGTCTCATTAACTGTTTCCAGTTTCTTTACAAAACGGACTATCCATTGATACAACAGAAGAGAGCTAAGAAATAAAATGTCAAGTTGCTGTGGTTGCCAGGATGGCTTTTGGACATGATAAACCAGGCCAGTTTCTCAGGCTCCTCTGCAGCTCCTTCTGGGAGGCTGAAAGTGGGGTTGCTAAAAGCAATGCCACTGGTGTAGAAAACAGCAGAAGTCACAACTAGTGCAAATATCTCCATACTTACTCATTTGGTGGCAAATTTTTAGTTGTTCTCAGGGGCTCCAGCCTGGAGGTCTATGATTTTGGGCATGAGAGGGCTCCTCACTGCCACTGCATCTGGGTGGGAAGAGAGCATCACGTGGATCTTCGCAGCTCAGTGCTCTCCAGCCCTTGGGTTTGTTCTCCAGTAATAAATGTTAGGGACCAAATGGAGAAAGGCATCTCTGAGAAAAGTCTGCAAAAGTAGGCTGTTTTAGTCATATGGCTTCTGGGAAGGAAAAAAAAACAAACCCCAGCTTTGAGAACAGTTAATTCATTAATGAGTGTAATCTAGCAGACACCTGGAGAATTTTTAATGTTCAATCCAGAGATTATATTTAGCACTTTAGTATACATAGGAATATGATACAAATACTGTTTTACTGAGAGGACGTTGAAAATGACGATATTCTACTATCTGGGCTTCTGAATTGTTTTGTCGTCTTGCCTTTGTTAACACAATTTGTTATTCAGAACCTGGAAAACTTAATCTTGGTTTGTGCTGGTGATACGTAATTCAAAATTTACCCTTAAGCTTAATTGTTTGCACTGGGGATGCATGACTGTTTAGATAAAATCCTCCTGAACTCCTTTGGGCTGGATACTTTTATTTGTGGTCTAACGAAAAGGTGTTTTCAAGAGACTATACTCTTTTTCTGAATGAGGAGGCAAAAATAAGACAACCCAGTTTAAAGATGCAAAACAACTGTCTGGATATTAAACAGATGTTAATGTTATTGATTAGTAATTTGCTAAACAAATGCAATTGTCCATTAATAACAGGGACACAGAACATAACAAACACAGTACAGTATAAGAATTAGTTTTGAAGAAATTCTTCTTTCTCTTCCAAAGATGTTATGTATATCTGCTTCTTGACAAGAACTACATTGACTTCAACTTTCTGAGATTTCTCATTCAGAGACCGCATTGTGGGTTACCAAGGACCAGCTCCAGATGTCTTTAAAACTGCAGAGGGCACAGAGCTGGTTTTAAATCATGGTGAATGCTTCCTCCCTCTCTCTCTAGAAAATGTCCTTAGTCTAGTTTTCAAAGGAAACACATCTTGTGTTATTACGCCCTCTAACTGTTCTTGCTCTCTCTCTCTATGTACTCACTAGTTATGTGAATCAATGTGCCTCAAACAGCCGGAGTCAAGTGGACACCCTAGAGCCCAAACCTAGAGGACGATGAGGGTGATGCTAGCACCGTTCTCTGTTTGTGGCTTTTTTTTGAAGAAGCAGCAGCACCTCACCAGAATATTTGTAGAAGGCGGGCACATTTCTTAAACTTTCTATCACCTGAAAAACAGTTTCAGTGGAAATTCTCTCTCCTTAGTAAAGTGCAGCTCTCTATGTAATAATCTCTAATTAACTAGGAATGAGAATTCTGTGGGGGAAAAAAAAGGAATTCTGTTTGCCTCAAAGACAAGAAAAGTACTGGAATTTGCTTTTCCTTCCTGCCTTATCTTAATTTGAACAAAACCCCGTCCTTCCATAGCAGAGAACAGCCCTGTAATTAGGTAGGTCCTTGAGATGCGGGACACTCAGTACTAGAGAGATGCAGGTTTTCTTGCTCTGGGAGTCACCTTCCTTGCTCTCTGCAGAGCTTTGGGAGACTGTGCAGGGGCAGGAGCCTCCTCCAGCTCCCCAGCATCTTAGCCTTTGGCTCACACAATGCCTTGCTTCTTCCTGGTTGAAAATGTCACTCAAAAGGGTATCAAAAGTACAAGTGTACTCTTTTTCAGGGTGTGCCACTGCTGTATGCGCCTGCCGTATAGCAAATGCCTGTCTGCTGCTGGTCTCTGAGCAAATCCGGGAGGGCTGTTTAATAGCTGGTTATGAATAAACAAGTTCAACCCAGTACAGAAATTACGGTGATGAGACTGACCCTTGCGGATCAGGAGTTTCACTCTTGTAAATAGAGCCTAGTATTCTGAAATAACAGTATGTCTGGATAGACTAGCCCTCTAATACAGTAAAAATTACAGCAAATCATGAACTAGTCAGAAAGATTTATACTAGTGTTCAAGTTCTGCCTCTGATTTTAACTAGCATCTTCGACAAAATAGAAATGGATGCCCTCTTAAAAGCACCATTTTCCCTTTGAAGTAACTATCTGATATAGGCAACAAGTATGTTTTTTTACTACAAAACATGTTTACTGTGTTCCTGAGTGTGGAAAAAGATTTATGCTGGTAGAAATACATTCAGTTACACTGTGGATGCACACAAGTCCTATGATACTAGAGTGAGAATATGTTATCATCTATATGATTATAGGGTTCTAGTTAAGCATCCAATTTTCAGATTTTTGGGAATAAGAAGCTCTAGTTCACACCTGCTATGCATCCTAAAGGCCTGGCAACTTTTAATATTGAGCTGGGTTTTTTTTAATCCCATATGTTAGTGATAATCACCTATCAAGAACAGCGCATGTTTTATAGTCTCAGACTTGACTTGACTGATTGCTGACTGCTTATGAAATAGGAAAGGTGACTGTTGCTGTATCTCCCAATGTTTGCATAGGTAACATTCTGTATGTGGAGTAACCAACCTGCATGTTTATCTTCCTTTTAGCCACCCCTGAAAGAGGATTTTAGGGAAGAAAAAGTAAGCCAGTTTAAAAGAAATAAAACCTAAAAGACCCCACGGTTGCAGAATGTTCACAGT